GTTATGACTGCACCTGTGAATAGCCACTTTACTTCAGCCTGGGCAATGTAGAGAGACTTCGTCTCAAAAAACGAACAAATAAATAAATAAAAAGAATAGAATAATAAAAATTGCAAAGAGTTTTACATTCACTGATAGGAAAGTTGTTGACAACATACAATTGAGTTTTTAAAGCACATTAAATAATCAGTGTGCATACTATGATTCCATTTAAGTAAAATTTCATATGTATGTTTATATATAGGTATATGTATTATATAAAAGTATATTCATCAAAATATTTAAAGAATAAATTACCTCTGAGTAATAGGATTATGGAAAAATTTCACTTTGTTCAATGTATACTTCTGTATTCTTTAGACTTTTTGAAAGTAAGTATTGGTCATGAGAAAATATAAATTCAAAATTCATTTTGGGGGAAGAAATTGCTGAACAAAAATAAATCACCTTTTGCACGATACATTCACACACACGAACAAAGTCAGAGAACTGTACTTTTCAAAACAGCAAAATGATTTAACCATTCACCGAGTTATCAATAGCCCTCAGGCTACCCACTCATACTCATACTTGCATTCTACTGACTCAGAACTTTGTCAGTTTTAATCCTTAACATTACTTATAAAGAGTAAAATGATTATCCATTATAACTGATTAGACATAAAACTAGTTGTAGGTTACGTTTTTAGAGTGCTTTAGAATAAGAAATTTTATGTATTGCTTTGCTTTATATTTTACTACTCGTGGGAAAATAAAAATAATAGAATATCATATTTTGCTTAGCATACTGTGCTTTACAAAATAAATAACCTATTGGAAACAATAACGTATCATTACTATTAATTCCAACTTTACAGCATTGGAAATAGATAATCAGAAGCTATTTGGTCTAGAAGACAAAAGGACCACATTTATTCAGAAGGCTTACCACATCAATCAGCCCCCCAAAAAGCCATTTTTAAAAGTTAACATCTGAGACATACCTAAATCTATATATATTTATCTGTATCTGAGCTAACTATACACACACACACACACACACACACACAC